ATTCAGGGTGGGGAGAGGAGTGCACAGCTGCCTGCTTTCTCCCTTCTTCCTTCCCTCCTTCCTTCCCTCCCTCCTTACCGCTCTTTTCCTCTGCCCTGTCTGTGCAGCCCCAATCAGGGCAGAGGGCAGAGGGCAGCTGGAGCGAGCCCCCTGAGCCCAGGAGGCTGCGTTATTCATGCATGCGCTGTGTGTGCTGAGTTGCCTCTCCCTGGAGGCCTGGAGGAGGGGGTGGGTTGGTCCTGGCTAACCTGTGCTCCCTTTTCCTGGCCATAGGAGCTGACACGATGAGTGACACGAGTTCCGTGAGCTTGGAGGTGAGCCCTGGCAGCCGGGAGACTTCAGTTGCCACACTGTCACTGGGGGCGAGCAGCCGTGGCTGGGATGATGGTGACACCCGCAGCGAGCACAGTTACAGCGAGTCAGGCGCCAGCGGCTCTTCTTTTGAGGAGCTGGACCTGGAGGGCGAGGGGCGTTTAGAGGAGCCACAGCTGGACCCTGAGACTGAGCCCCTGGGGGTTACCAAGTGGCCCTGGGAGCCCAGTACCCCTGAGAAGGGCAAGGAGTAACCTGTGGCCTGCACCCTCCTGCAGTGCCATTGCTGAGGAACTGAGGAGACTCTCCAGCAGACTCTCTAGCCCTCTTCCTCCTTCTCCTGGGAGAGGAGGGGCTCCTGAGGGACCTGACTTTCCCTGCACCAGGCCTCTTGCTAAGCCTTCTCCTCACTGCCCTTTTGGCTCCCAGGGCCAAAGAAGCCAGGGACTGTTTTCTGCACCAGCCCCCAGGGCTGCCACCCCTGTTATGTCTTTTTTTGACTCATATTGGAGCTTCCAGGACCCAGAATAAAGTCAATGATTTACTTGTTTCACTTGGATTTGGGTTGTGTATTTGTTTGTTAGTTCTGCCTTGGTGGGCGGGGGGGGTCCCATACAGATAGGCTGGGATTGGGCAGGAGCCTCCCCTCCCCAGGACAAGGAATGGCGGGAACATGGCAGGTACCCTGGGGTGTGGGGAGGAGGGGTGTTAGAAATTCTCCATGTCCTTCTCTGTGACCCCAGTGGTCAACTACCCCTCCATTGCAGCTGCCAGAGAGCAAGCAGAGGCTGGCTTGTGTGAGAGCTGAGCACGGGGCACCTTCCAGGACTCAGGAGTGGGGAGCTCATAGCCCGTCTTCATCTGCCTCCAAGGGATGCCTCTGTGTCTGTGGCTCTAGTGTGCCTGCACGTGGTACCTCCTTAGCAGGCAAGGCTGTCTCACTGTGCCTGCCAGTGCCTGTGTACCTGTGTGTATGCATGTGTACCCACGCTCATGCATTTGGCTCTATAACCACAGATGGGGCTGCTTGGGTGAAACTGTGCCCAGGTGAGCATCAGGGTGTGATTGTAGCTGAGCATGGGTGTCTGTGTGGATGGCCGTGCTTTGTGTCTGTGTATGGTTGAATTATAGGAGCATGTGAGGCTGGCTTAACAGCATCTCTTTGGGGGCTTTGTCCATATACAGCTGTGTGTGGCTGTGCCTGTACAGCTGTGTGTATGGTGATGTTCATGATGTTCATGTATAAAGCTATGTGTTTTGCTATGTGTCTGCTCTATGCAGTTGTGTATCCATGATTATGGCCATGCATGTGTGGCCATGTCTTGGTCTACAGCTGTTTGTGCCATGTCTATGTGAGCAGCTGTATATACGTGGCTGTGTCCACATGTTTAGTGGTGTGTAGGCATGGTCACATGTTCGTAGGGGCAAGGGTGTGCCCATTTGTATTATGGCTGTTTGCAAGTATAGCTGTATGTGGTTGCATGTTTACGTGTACTATATATGTGGCTATGTCCACATGTACAACTGTGTGTAAGGCTGGGTGTTACGTCCTCATCTGTGTGCACAGCTGGGAGTGGTAGCTGTCTAGCCATGTGTAACTGTATGTCCAGGTGCTGTGACTGTGCAGCTTGTTTGCTGTAGGCCATATCATGGGCTTTTCGGGCTGGTGCTGTACATAGCCATATCTGTGTATACAGCCCCATGCCTTTTGTGAGGCTGGTGTGTTGAGCCGGCTGGGAGTGTGACTGGGAGGAGTGTGTGACTCCTTACCTCAGCGCCCTCCTGCTGTCAACCCCTCTTCTCCAGGGGCCTGGCCCATCGCTCACCTACCCTAGGAAGTGGTTGCTCTGAGGCAGCCAGAGAGGGTGAGAGCAGCTGGTGGCAGAGTTGGAGGTGGAAGACAGCATGTCTGTCTCCTGCTGCCACTTTGTCTCCTGTTAGTGATGGAGCTTGTGTTTATTTGGGTTTGATGTGTCTGTTTTGTTTCAAAGCTGTATTCTTTCCACAGCAGTGGGACACCGGGTTTCTGTGTCCAGGGAAAAGGCTTATCCTTGGTGATCATCTCTGCTCCCCTACGGACTGCTACTTGCACATGTGGGGGTGTATGCCTGAGGAGTCTGGGCCTGGCATGTTCATTAGCATGTATCTGAGCTGGCCTTACTTCCACCAACACCTGTGGAGGAAAGGGCAGTGTCAGGGGAATGTGTGTAGGGATGCCATGCCCCTTGGCACTTGTTAAGTATGTGTACATGTTAGGGCAGATAGTACAGGCTCTTTAATCCCCATTCCTTCAGCACAGTCTGGCACTACAGCTTACCCACTACCTTCTAACCAGGGGTGTCCTTCCCCATCCTGCTGTGGGAGGGAAGAGTCAAGAGCATCTTCTCAGAGCTGTCCTCCCTCTGCTTGGTCTCCAGCTCTCACTCCCTCCTACGCAGCAGCCAGTTCCAGAAGTCTTTCCCCAGGCCCCTCCCCTTCCAAATCCCCCTGCCATCCCTAGCACTCCCTCAGGGTTGACCCTAGTACTTGGTTCTGAAGCCCCTCCTGCAGGTTGCTATCTCTTTGCTTAAATACGCTTTTTACATGGGAGTAAAAGGGTGGCAGGTTTAAAGGGCATCTGCAGGAAGGAAGGGGAGCCCCATTCTCCTCTGACCTCCCCTTTCCCCAATCTTTTCCTCCTAATGAGGCTCCAGCTCAGGCTCCAGCTCTCACAAGGGGCTGAGGACACATGCCCCCACCTCAGGCCTGGGATGTGGACCCAGCTGAAGTCATTGGGTGGGGAGAATAGACTCTACCTGTTTCCCACGTGCCCATTTACCTATCCCCGGAGTTACCCCTTGATGCTAGGGCCAGCTCCTCCACTCTGCAGTAGCACTATGTGCACCTGCTGGGGCGCAGTGACCTTCCTCACCCTGTGCCCCGTGGCATTCCCCCTTCCCCCACCTGTACTATCTAGGTGGTAGTCTGATAATGGGGCAGAGTGGGCCACCAAGCACCTGCTCCAGCAAAGAGGGAGAGCGCTCGGAGATTCAGCACCACGAGGTGGACAGTTCCAGGCCCGGAGGTCCCAAGAAAAGCGGGAGCCTGGAGGGTCCAGAGGCTGGAGGAGGCCGGGTTGGGAGCCGGAGACCTGGAGTCGGAGTCGGGAGGAATGGAGGAGGGGCTGGGGGCGGGCCGGGGCCGGGGGCGGGGCGGGCCGCGATTGAAAGCGGCGGGGCGAGCGGGCGGGCGGAGAGTGCAGAGCCAGCTAGCAAGCGAGCGAGCGGGAGCCAAAGCCTAGCGCCCCCCGCCCGCTCCACTCCGACTCTCTCCGCGCCAGAGCCGAGCGCACCAGGTAGGGTGAGCCGGTGGTGCCGCTGCTACCGCTGCCGACCCTTTTGGCCCTAACCTCACGTCCCAGGACCCCGCGGGCCCTTGAGTTGTGGGGCGCCCATGCTGGGGTGTCCAGACAGCGCCTGGGAGCTCCGGGAAGCGGGAAGACAGCCCCAGGCGTCCCGCCTTTATTCCCCAGAAAACGCACGCTCCGAATCGCGCTTCCCCGTTCCTCCTGCTCCAACGTCCTCTGGTCCTTCTTTCTGTCTGTGCCTCCGTCTTTGTCTCCACCTCTCAGGCTCGTTCTCTCCCTGCCCAGATTTTGTGGCCCAGGTCCCTGCCTGCCTGACTCCGGGTTTCTGTCCCCTTCCTGCCTCTAAGCTTCCGTCTGGGCCTCCCCTGTGGGAGGCTTGTGACTTGACCAGTTTTGGCCTCAGCCCCCATCTGGGTCCTAGTCCCCATCTGTGCTGGTCTTCCTCCCTGCAGTTCGCTTGCCTGGGTGAGCTGCTTCTTTCCTGATCCCCAGAGGAGCCCAGTGCCCCTGCCCTGGGGAGCTGAGGGAGCAAAGTGAGGAGCCTCAGCCTCTGTGGCCAGCACATGGGGTCCTTGAATTAGTTGCTGCCCATCTTCAAACTCAGTTTCCTTTCCTGTTCTGAGGAAAGAGATATAGCCCTCTCCCAGCCTTTCCAAGCCTGTGTGACTGTGAGAGCCTTTGTGGGGTGTGTTTGGGAAGGCAACGAGTACAAATGATAGGCTGCAGCGGGGAAGAGACAGGAAGGAGGTGTCTGAGGGCCATGGCTAGGGTGGGCAGGTCTCTGAAGCTGAGGATGGGGAGATTGGAAATGGTGACTTTCTCTGCTGGGTTTGAAGTGAAGAGAAAACAAAGGCACAAAGTCTCAAACAGCATTCTACATAGAGGTAGGGAGTCCCACACTCACACCTTCAGCACTGTTTGGAGACTCTATCCCCCAACCCTGACACACACATACGTGAATATCTGCTTGCCCTGTTGACTTAGGACCTTTGACCACTTGGGTACCCTCCCTGGGGCCAGCCTTTCTACCTTGCTGTCTCATTCCCAGGGCTTAGGGTCTCTATCCCTTCTTCAGTTAGGACACTGTGGGGATGGCTTTTTAAGAACCAAAGGCTAGGACTCTTGGGTGTTTACATAGGCGCCAGTCTCCCCATGGGTTGGAGACTGTCCCTTAGAGATTCTTCCCTGATGGGTCCTTCTGTCTGGAAATCCAAGGCTCAGGATGGAGACCTCTGAGTTTGTAACTCTGACATAGACTGTTCCAAAGGTATTGGCCTTGTGGTCCTAGGAAGTTTGTGCTGGTCTTGGACACCCTTTGATTTACAGAGGGGTGAGCATTGGCTGGGGTCTCCTGTCCTCTGCCTGGGCCTTCACTCTTTGCATCCCTCTCTGCTGCTGATTTTGGTAGGGGACTAGGGCCAATCTCTTGCCCATCTGAGACCAGGGCTGAAAGACAGGCCCAGGGGAGTCCCAGGAGCTTCTCAGCCTAGTTAATGACACCCTGTCCCTGTCTCCTGAGTACCTAGGAAAGGGGATTGGGGGGAGGCGGAGTCAGAAGGGGCAGCTGCTCTCAGGTTCCACTTTTCCTGGTCTGTTTGTCTATCTTTCTATCTCTGCAGGAGCTGGGTCCCTTCTCATCTCTCTTCTTGTCTGTCCTTTCCTGGTCCCTGATTCCTCTGCTATTTGCCTTTGCTGCTTCTAATCTCATCCCCTGGAGACCCAGGTCTGCTGGACCCAGTCATCCCCTTTGGGGCCATGGGATCGCTGCTTGGGCTCCTGGCACTGCTGCTGCTGTGGGGCGCTGTGGCTGAGGGCCCAGCCAAGAAGGTGCTGACCATGGAGGGAGACTTGGTGCTGGGTGGGCTGTTCCCAGTGCACCAGAAGGGTGGCCCGGCAGAGGACTGCGGTCCTGTCAATGAGCACCGTGGCATCCAGCGCCTGGAGGCCATGCTTTTTGCACTGGACCGCATCAACCGTGACCCACACCTGCTGCCTGGCGTGCGCCTGGGTGCGCATATCCTCGACAGTTGCTCCAAGGACACACACGCCCTGGAGCAGGCACTGGACTTTGTGCGTGCCTCACTTAGCCGTGGTGCCGATGGCTCACGCCACATCTGCCCTGATGGCTCTTACGCCACCCATGGTGATGCTCCCACTGCCATCACTGGTGTGATTGGCGGCTCCTACAGTGATGTCTCCATCCAGGTATGTGGAGGTCCCCCAAGTGGGGGCTAGGGAGGGAGGCCAGAGGTGGTGACCCAGAATTCCTGCTGGAAAGGGGTTCAGGGCTGCTGTGCATTGGAAGGGAAACTAGAAGCTTCCTTGCGGTAGCTTTTACAGAAGCTAAGAAAGTGCCCCAATCACATAATGGCGGTTGATTTTTAGAGACTGTGCAAGAGAACATCTTACTCCCACTCCCACTACACACACACACACACACACACACACACACACACACACACACCCTTACCCTTGATGTTAAACAGCCCTGAGGGGCCTCATAGCCAGGTCTCTGGAGTCAGACTTCTGGGTTTGAATCCTGGCTCTCCCAGTTACTAACTGCATGTTATTTCTCTTTTCTGTGTCACAGTTTCTTCCTTATAAAATCGGATTCACAACACTTTTTTTTTTTTTTTTTTTGAGACAGAGTATCACTCTGTCTCCCAGGCTGGAGTGCAGTGTTGTGATCATCACTGTGGCCTCCATCCACCTTTCGGGCTCAAGTGATCTTTCCATCTCAACTTCCCAAGTAGCTGGCATTACACGTGTGTGCCACCATACACAGCTAATTTTCTTATTTTTATTTTTGTAGAGATGGGGTCTTGCTATATTGCCCAGGCTGCCCTTAAATGCCCGGGCTCAAGTGATCCTCCCTCCTCAGCTTCCCAAAGTGGTGGGATTACAGGCATGAGCCACCAAACTCAGCTAAAATTATAATTTCGAACTGTCTAAAAATGCAATAGATTTTTGTGCATCGATCATATATTTGGTAACCTTTCCAAAATCCCCTACTAATTCAAAATGTTTATTTTAGATTTATTTTTAAAGAGTTACATCACCTGTAAATAAGAGCAGCTTTGTTTCTTGATTTCCAATCCTCTTGCCTTTTATTGCATTGTATTAATTTCTTTTTCTGATTTACTTATGCTTTCAGCATTTCACCAGTAAATATCATGTTTGTTACAGATTTTTTTCTTTTTCTTTTTTATTCTGTAAACATAACTATATATATATTATATTTTTTCTAGCATTATATTAACCTTGCATATCTGGATATATTTAACTTGGTAGTGGTTTTTAATCTTTTATATATGGGTGGAAATAGTTTAGGAATATTTTATTTAGGATCTTAGCATGTTTGAGTGAGATTGGCCTGTAATTTGTCTTTCTTGTATCATTCTACCCCTCATCATTGTTTTCAATATTAAATATATACCAGCTTCATAAAATGTGCTAATGAGTATTTCCTATTTTTCGAACCTATGGATAGAAAATTGGAATTGTCTGTTGCTTATAAATTCATCAGAAGATACTTAACAACCTAGGTCTGTCTCTTTTTTTCTAAAGATTATTGATTGTTGATTTAATTTTTATGTGGCCATGGACCTATGTAATTCGGCAGTCTTTTTGATTCTGTTTCAATAAAAGAAAATTTTAAATTTTTTCTGATTTTACTTGTGTTCAAACTAGTTAAAGTTCTTCTTCATTGTATCCTCTTACTTACTTTTAAATTTCTGTTTTATCCATAGTTATATCTCTTTTAACCCTAATGTTTTATTTATCTGTCCCTTCTCATTTTGCTTTTTCTTAATCAATCTTCATAGAGGCCTATCTGTTTTACTAATCTTTTCAAATGATCAACTTTTGGCTTTGTCTTCTGTTTTATTTTTTATGATGCAACTTCTATAAACTTTTTAATATCAAAATTATTCATAGGACACTGGTATGGGCAAGGCTTTGACGCAACAGTTTCCAGAGGTGGTAGTGAATACGACAACAGGATATACATTCTAGAAAACAGCTTGGCTGCATCAAAAACAGAGAATATAACTTAGGAGCAGATAATTCTTATCCTTGTTTTTCAATTGGCTGGAATCTCTTAGGTACTTTCCTGATTCCTCTTTTTAACTATGAGTTTAATATAGGAATTGATTAAGAATCCTATATAGTTCTCTAATTCAAGGTTGAGGATAGGGCTGTTCGTCTAAATTTAGAAAATTTGTCAAAATTTTCAAAACAAAAATGTCAAAATTTCTAGTGAAAGTGGCAAAGTAAGTAGATGGCTTAGAGTCTGAAAACGCTATGGTTTTGCAGGTTTTAAGAAGCATTTCTGGTCCAAAGTAAAAAACAA